TAATCTTTAAATAAATTTTTAAAAGTTAGTTATGAATGTTGCTTATTACGACTCAGCATGCCTTATTTCCATGTAGGCGAAGTCTTCCGTGCTGCAGCCATAGAGGCCAGAATCCACTGCAGTCAGCTTAGCACTAGTGGTGGTAACAGGGCCTAGCACAGGGATGCTCAAAGGACACTTGTCACAGGGATTATCACTACACGCCACAGACTTAAGTTTATTATCTTCGTTTCAAAGATGAGGACCTTGAGGCAGAATTATGCTTGAAGTTGTACACCAAGGGAAACAGGGCAAAGATTGGAACCAGGCGAATTGGGCTCCAGAACCTTAAGCACTCCACTAACAGCAGCAGCAGAAGCAACTCATCGATGTCGCATCTTGGCACCTGCATTCGCCATTAGAAACTATGCATTTGTTCAGCAAGGCCGTGGTCGACTGCTCGTGCTCCTGAGCTCATGGCCGCTCCTGTGCCTCAAGTGCAAAGCTATGGACTAGCGTATTTTCTCCCAGAACTCACTGTTACACGTGATTTCTTTTGGTCTCCTTCATTCAGCCCTCCACTTTCTCCAACCAGAAGACCCTTTTCTCTCGGCTGTGCCATCACATGGCAAGATCTCCTACCTCTGGTCCTTCAGTAGGACTCATTTGCCTAGTGCATCAGTCTGTCCCTGCCTGCACAGGGTCTTCTGAATTACTCTGTTTATAGAAATGCATCGCTTTGCCTTTTCTTTAAAACTAAATCTTTGGGACTAGCAGCTGGCATAATGGTTACATTGCTGGACTCCCACGTGGTTGACAGCAGTCCAAGTCCTGGAACTGGCAGCTTTAACTAGTGCTGGGCGCGTGCATGCCCACAATCCCAAGAGGAGAATGAGGAAGGGTTTGTGGTGTGGCCATCCTCCCTTTGGGGAGGTGATTTCTTGCTTTCTGTCTCTCCATCTCTGGCGAGTGCATGCAAAAATCTCTAAGAAAAAAACCCAAAACCTGAACCTTCAGTTGTGGTCATCTCAAGGAGGTTCATGACATAAGAACTTGCCTAACTCTGTGCTCCCTGTTACATTAGAGTACACTGTGCCTGTGTGATTTGGCCATGTGGGATCCAACACTTGAACCATCTGCCTCCAGCTGGTCCTAGTCAGGATTCTTTTTTTTTTTTTAAAGGTTTTTGTCAGGGCAAATGTGCTCACTGGAGAGAGACAGAGAGACAGTGAGAGGGAAATTGAGAAATCACCCCCTAGGGAGAATAGCCACACCACAGTCCCATCCCTTCCATGACCCTCCTGGGACTTGGGGCATGCACACACACATACCTGCCATGATTTTCAAGCCACCAGGTCTAGGACTTGAACTGTGATCAGCCATGTGAGAGTCCAGTGCCTTAATTACTACACCACCTGCTGGCCTCCCTAGTCTGGATTCTTAATTGCAAAGCCGATTTAATTCAACAAAGGAACATATGGAATGAATGTTGGTTCACCTCAGATGTGAAAAATGGTTGGAAACAGTGAGGCTATTCAGTGTCCCAGGTCGCAGCAGAGTCAGCTTCCAGTGCCAAGCACTCACTGCCTGTGACTGTGGCGAAAGCTGCTGCTCTTACAGTGGAATCTCCTGTCCATGGTTGCTGCAGGTCACCAGCACTTCTCTGCTGTCTGCCTCAGCTGGGGCTACAGTAGTCTTTGTTGTTCGTGGCACCATGCAGTATCCAAGGCAGCTGCAGCTGAGGAGCCAGTCCTGGCCTCGCACTCAGGAATGGCTATGTCACGTTTCAGTTTCTCTGGTGGCCAGTGGGCTCTGATACTCTAGAGTTCTTCTAGAATGCAGGATTCAGATGCTCTGTAGTCAGGACTGTGAAATCAGATCCTTGCGCATTTAATGCGGTCAGCGTACACAGAACAGCAGCGGTCAAGACAGCAGTTTGGTGGACAGCTCAGGATTTTAATGTATTTGGTTGTATCTGCTGAACTCTAAGGACGTGCGACTTCATACATGAAGATTGCTTCTACTCCTTTAATCCCACCTTCCACAACATGGCTAGAGTATTTTTTCTACATTATATTACTTATTTTTCCCTGAAAAATGCTTCACTCTTTCTCGTTCCTGTGTCTGAGCATGTGGAACCGTAAATTTCCTGTGGTGCTCACCCTGCTCTGTCCTTTTTGCAAGTTTACCTCTGAGGACTCATTTCAGGTGTCACCTTCCACGTGGCACTTTCTGGAAGCTTTTACCAGATTTCTTTAGATTTCTTATATGTTAATATAGCACTTACCACATTTTATTGTAATTATTACATAAATTTTTCTGACTAGATCTAATGAACTTAGGAATCAAGAATTTTTTATTATCTTTTTTTTATCTCACAAGATGGTTTGTTGATTAGATAACGGAAAATACCATACTTCCGATTGGTTAGTTAATTTAATTTATATACTGTGTTTAAGCTCCAAGGTCATCTATTCTATCCCTGTGCTAGGCTCTGCCTAGCCTGTAGTCACAGACTTCATTCCCACTCTGGCTAATTTTGTGAGGGAACTAGGGAAAACAGACCTTGATGGACCATGTTTGATATATGAACTACAGCAAATGATAGTGAAAGGTTTAAAGGTGGACTTTGCCACTGTCAGAAAAATACCTGCTTTGATGAAATATTTATACTAAATTTTCTGCTTTATGTATTTCTTATGTTAAGGAACTAAAAAGGGTAGCCTCAGACTTGATGAAGTCCAAGGTCACATGTCAATACATGATGGGAGAAGAAAGCATCAGTCTAACAATTAAGGAACAAAAATTTCAAGAACTTCAAGAAAGACTCAATATGGTATTTGATTAAATCTACTTTTAAAGACTTTAGGGTGATAAAATTTGGCTATACCCACCTTCCTTTTTTTAATAATTATTTTTTAATTTATTTAATTAATCTATTATTCTTCAATTTGACCAGAGAGAGACACACAGAGAGAAAGAGACAGGCAGAGAGAGGGAGAATGAGAAAGCAAGCCTCCAGGTCCAGGACTCGAACTATAGTCAGCCATTTAGAAATCTAGCACCTTAACCACCATGCCATTTGCTGGCCTTCCTGCTCCCCCTTTTTAAAAAATTGCCAGAGGATGTGTGCCCTGGCCAAAACCAGACATAAAAACAGAGGAAAAAGAGGGGGAGGCAGAGGGGGAGATAAAGTGAGGGAGAAAGGAAGAAAAGGAGAAAGAAAACACCCCCCAGTGGGTCATGGTCACACAACAACCTTTCTCCGTCACCTCTCAAACCTGTCAGGGTTTTGGGCAGGCACACACACACACATCTGGCATGTCATTTAAGCTACTGGGACCAGGACTTGAACTGTGTTCAGCCTCATGGGATCTGGCTTCATATGTACTGTGTGTGACTGCTACGCTACAGGACTGGCCCAGTTTCGTAGTTTTTTTTTCACACTTGAAAGTTTGCATCGGCCTGTGTTGGGTATCTATTGAGTAATACTTTCTTCAGTTCCCTGGAGTCACCATTTCAACCACAAACAAGTTGGGTACTCTGGAGTAGTTGTTGGGCATGATGTCCCCAGATTTCTTGAGCATTGAATTGAATGTACAGTTTGCTGCACCCCATAACTTTAAATTTATTCAAATTTTTAAAGGAATTGAAATTAAATAAGAAGATAAATGAAGAGATTACCCATATTCAAGAAGAGAAGCAGGTAATCATAAGATATTTAGGAAGTTGGTAATTTTTTTAAAAATCAGATACAGTGCTGGAAATGAGTTAAGAGACGGAACTGTGCCGAGGTCAGTGTGTAACACAGGGGAAGCCCTCAGCTAATGTGCACTGAGGGACACACGGTGCCTTTCTAGTCAGTCTCTTATAGTCATGTTAGAAATAAACCAGGTTTGGGACCAGCAGTTGGCGTAATGGCTATGTCACTGAACTCCCATGTAGTCAACCGCGGTTCGAATCCCAGACCCAGTGGCTTAAACTCATGCTGGGTGCGTGTCCGTGCATGCCCAAGATACTGAGAGGAGAATGGAGGAGACGGGATTGTGGCGTGGCCATCCTCCCGGGGGAGGGCGACTTGTTGCTTTCTGTCTCTCTCTCTGTCTTTCTGATGAGCGCACGTGCCCTAAAGCAAAAACCTCTCAAAAAAAAAAAAGAAATAAACCTGGTTCTCCCCTGGTAGTGTAGACTGATGGCACCCTAGCAGATAATTACCGAAAGGTAGTTGTGCCTACTGGGTGCTTTTTCAGCATGTTACATTCTCATTCCAATCTACTTAATATTTATAATTCTTGTCGTTATTAAGAAAATGTGAAAAGAAAATGCTCTAGTTTCTTATTTCCCTTCTGCTCTTACTCATTCGGTTCGGAATGTGCCTCCTGACCCCCAACCCTCCAGGATGTTTTCCAGTACCACAGCCCACCACCGGTGCTGCCGGAGACCTGCAGTCATGGATGGCCGGGCCGGCAGGCACGAATTGTAGTTTTTTGAGTTTTCCACATTTTTCAGTTGTATCTTAGAATTCATGGCCCATCTCAGGGACCAACAGTTAGCATAATGGCTATGTCGCTGGATTCCCACGTAGTCCACCGCGGTTCAAATCCTGGACCCTGTGGCTTAAACTCATGCCGGGCGCGTGTGCGTGCGTACCCAAGATCCCGAGAGGAGAATGGAGGAGAAGGGATTGCAGCGTGGCCATCCCCTCTGGGGGGTGATTTCTCGCTTTGTATCTCTCTGTCTGTCTCTGTCTTTTTGGCGAGTGCACACGCCCTATAGTGAAAACCTCTCAAAAAAAAAAAAAAAAGAATTCATGGCCCATTTCAAAAACATTTCTCTCATAGGAAATCATGTAATAAAAATTATTTTAGATATTAAATTATAAAGTGTTTATATAATTGGTTTAATATAAAGTATTAAACTATAAAGATATTGAGTTAAGAAACTAGAACATATATTTGAAGGATGACTTTAAAAATATACTTATTAACATTTTTAATTGATCTGTTTATATATTTTTAAAGGGTGTCATCGTTTCTTTCCAACACATGCAGCAGTTACTTCAGCAACAAACTCAAGCTAATGCTGAAATGGAGGCGGAATTGAAGGTGCTAAAAGAAAATAACCAGGTTAGACACATACACACACATACGTATGTTCTATTGGGTTGTCAGAAAAGTGACACATTCTTACATAGAAAAACACTTCATGACTTTTTCGACGACCCAATATATATCATCTTGTATACTCCTGTCTAATGAGCCTCCCCTGTTGCATCTGTCTGCCTATTCTATCAAGGTTACTTTGAATTTTAGAGGTATGATATTGACTTCTTTCATCAACTTGATACCAGTATCTAAGTAGTGAAGTATTTCAACATTTAAGTCACTAGTTAAATGTTGAATTTTATCAAGTACCTGACTTTTTTTCACGACAAACTTGATAATAGGGATTTTTCTTTGTCTTAGAATTGTGGTCAAGGTCCAAAACTGAGAGTCAAAGGTAAAAGTGTCACCCACCTTTTAAGTCAGAAGTTGGTGGCAGATCCTTCGAGAAATCTGATAGAACTGGCACTGTTACCACCACAACAGCCCCATCGCCCTCTTTTCAGTAGGCGCAAGAGAATAATCAGATGGGAAAATGTTATCGTCATTGGTATTTCAGGAGTGCAAGGTTCAAAAAAAAGCTTTTCTCTGACATCTCTAGTAGTGTGGATGTGTTTCCTCTCATGAAACCATTTTCTGCAAGAAAATTTCTTGTGAAGGTATAAGGAGAGATTGCCATCTTGTTTCTTGGGTGGATCTTGAGATACTGTAGAAAACTAAAAGTCCACTTTTGGGTTGCCAGGAGAATAAAATGTGATAAGCTGTGTAAGAGCTTAGCATATTTCAAGGCCAGCTGGTGGTGTGGTGGTTAAGGTGCTGGATCCCACATGGCTGACTGTGTTGTTTGAGTCCCGAACCCGGTGGCTTGAGAAATGTGCCAGGTGTGTGTGTGTGTGTGTGTGTGCATGCCTAAAATCCTGGGAGTCACTGGGAGAGGGAATTACAGCATGACCATCCTCCCTGGGGGTGCTTTCTCACTGCCCCTGCTCCCCCCCTCTCTCTCCAGTGAATGCATGTGCCCAATAGCAAAGTTAAAAGTAAATAAATGAAGCAAAAAAGCTTAGTATGTCTCTTTAAGTTCAGCAGTTCACCAAAAACATAGACTCATACCCAATTTAGTCCAGAGATGTCAAAGTGAAAAGTCCTTGGAGTGCTTCGTGTGGAAAGCAGGTCACAGTGGTTAGGGTGCTTGTCCTTCTGGACACGTGGCCTGAAGGGGCACCAGAGAGGACCTGGGCGCCACACCAAGGAAGCCGAGGTGGCGGGAGGGAGGGATTGTCCTGGGTGCACTGGGCTGAGTGACGGCTGAGTGACGGCCGAGGACAACCAGCACTGAGAAGGAGCTAGGGCACATTCGCGGGGAGCCAGTTGAAGGTATTTCTGCCCTCTAAAAGAGTTCTTGGTGGCACCGCACATGGGTGAAGCTGAATGTTTTCCAAGGACACTGCCATCGCCTCCCATGTAGAGACACACCACCAGCAGAGGGCAGGGCCAGCTTCCTGAGCATGCAGCCAGTGCAGTGCACAGGGCTGCATTCACAGGGGCCTCCTGCTTGGGCTTTATGTTTTGCAGTCACCATCTTCAAGTTTTTATTAATTTTATCCTAGAATTTATGTTTTTCAAGTTAGATCTGATGGAACAAAGAGGTATGCGTGATGGGCCTGGAGCTTTGGCTCAGGCATGGTCTCCACTGTCTCCCAGGACCGGGAGTGTAGTGCCCAGGGCCGGGCCAGGCTGCCTTCTCACTGCCCCTGTGCCGCCGCTGCTGCTAATTGCCTGGTTTATGCTTGTGGAGAAAGGCCTGTGTTTTGCCATTGAGCGTTTCTTCTCAGTTTGGGCTGTGGTACTAGCAGGGAGTGTCTGGTTTGGGTGTGTGGGCCTCAGAGCACTTTGTAGGAGGCATGGAGGAAGCCATCCTGGTTTTTTTTTTTTTTTTTTTTTTTTTTAGAGT